TATACATATCTCCCTTATATGCCCTGTAACTTCAGAATCCTTCGAAGTATTTGGAACAAGTACCTTTGGGATTCCTAAGTCCTGAACCCTTGATATAAACTGCCCTAAAACCCGATGAGCCCTTTATGTAGACCCCACCTGCCCTAACACTTCAGGCTTGAACTCCAGAACCGGTCAAAACTTCTGTTTTAGGACCCGCGACCCATGCATGGTTTGAACTGAAATGCCATGGTCGTGTGTGTGTGTGCAGTGTTCAGCACGGACGATGGATTGCTGCTTATGTGAGCTGCAGATGTTTTCTTGAATTGGACAAGTCGTGCAACGCACTGCCGGCTGACTGCTGCATCATGGAGCCTGGTTTGGCATGCTGAAGCGAGCTTTATTGCAAAACAAAAAACGTAAAGCTGCTGCAGGGGATGATGCCGGAGCCCAGGCCCCACGACCAAAAAACAGGTTGGACCTGAAGGCGAGCCCATTGATGAGATGGGCAGCAACGAAGGTTGGCAAGGGCGACCCAGCTTCGCTTTTTCAGGAAGTTGCCCAGGCATGCATTGAAGAGACGCAGGCTGCCACTGGTTCTTCGAACGTTTCACAGATGGTGACCGAGAGCTGCTTGACGACATGAACAAGTTGTTGGGTGTGTCATATAGGAAGCGGTCGCAGATCGATGCATATTATGTGCTGTGTATAACTTTGTTGCTGATATACTGTCCTCATATCCAAGGTGTACAGTGGGCTTTCACCCAAGGGCGGCAGGGCACGCATCGCAGGACTGCTCAACGTGATGTGCAACTTGCACTCCGACGCAGTGATGGAGTGCCCCTGCATGCAGGCAAGAAGTTTTCGGGTGTAGTCGATGCTATATATATATATATATATACTCTCTCTCTCTCTCTATATATATAGTAGGTTTTGAACTGGAGGTGCCGCTGCGATGCAAGATCCACTATGTTACTCTCCCGATCCTTTCAGTTCGGCAACTTAAGCGATCATTGGCTTCCGCTGGGAATGCTGCCGGACGTGGCCGAGGCAGGGGCAGAGGTCGCCGAAACGTTTCTTTGGCTGCCAAAAAAAAACTGCACAAAGAAATAGTTTGGAAACGGTGGCCAATCCTCCGGCCTACGACGCTGGCCTCTGCTATGATTCGAGGCGGTCACGGTGATCGCTTCGAGCCCCTGGGTGATATATTACTCATGCATCCCGAGTTTTGACGTGCATACCGATTTTGCTTTTCATCGGACGACTTTACAATCGAACCGGAACTGTATATTTGGGTGATTGCATCCAGACTAACTTAAAGTATATAATAAGTGCCACTGAGTAGCATCTTAGAAGTCAAAATGAAATACCAGAAGTCGAGGTCCACCTCGTGGTCTGAATTCTGGCAACGTGCAGAACAGCACGAGCTTTGGGGACCGAATCATCCGGTTAATCGACGGATGACTCCGTCCCAGAAAGGCCACGCAGTGCCCATCGCGATCCACGGCGATGAAGGGCAGGGCAAAAAGCAAAGATCGCTGATGGTGTTGAGCTGGTCGATTGTCAATCACCGCAAACGGCACATCTTGCTTTACAAATACCCGATCACTACCATCAGAAGTATTAACATGGCTTTCAGCAGTGAAGGTGTCAACTTGACATTGATGGCTCTGCAGAAAGCCTTGGTCGAAAACCTTCAGTTTGCCGCCGAGCCGAACAACTGTCCATTGGCCCCGGGCAAAGACTTCACACTGCAGCTTGCGATCGCAAAGGGCGATTGGAAGTTTCAGGCCTCATGGCTCAATGAGGTCAGAAGTTACGCAAATCATCCGAGTACATCGGCTGACCGACCCGTTTTCTGTCGTCGCTGCCTTTGCACAGCCAATGTGAACAGCAACAAGCATTGGTTGGACATGAAGGATCGAGGCTGGTTCGAACCGGCCGAAGTTTCGGATGTGCTCGATGGCAACATCGGCAGGGCCCTGCCGTGCCCCGGATGCAGATCAGAACGATGTTATTGTTAACTTTTTTGTGTGTGCCGATTATTACAATCATGTCACAGCAATGTGTCCTTGTGCATCCACCGTCCAAAGAGTGCATGAGGCTACGCTCGCTCAGCGGTTGGCATGCTGATATGGCAGCCGCGGATACACTGCACAGCTTATGGCTTGGCTGTGCAAAGGATGCCATTGGATCTGCATTGATGGACATATGCGAGTTTCATGAGGCATTCTCCTCATGTACAGGCTGGGATGAGGCACTGTCACAATTGTGCTGTGAATTCCACAGCTGGTGCGATGAAACCGGGATGGAGAAACACAATTGCGATGAACTGAACCTCACCAAGCTCGGGGTCAACTCGATCACTTTTGATTTCCCCTCTGGAACGTCCAAAGGTTTCACGAACCGGCTTTTATTGGCCTTCGTCGCCAAATTCTTGCAGGGCACTACAAACGATAAATTGAAAGTGCCAGCTGTCCTGGCTTGGGCGGTGACGGATTATGCTAATGTTCTGGAAAACGCAGGGATCTGGCTCACAGAGGCCGAAGCACTGCACGCCGCTGACTCTCGGTGGCTCATGCATATTGTTATTTGGAGATGCTTATCATCGGATAAATCGTATCGTATTAGTCGAACCCGGTACGTCAACGATTAGGTGATCATCCTGAACGTTTTTTGGTATGTTTTCAGGTTTTGCCTTTCGAAAACAGATGTTCAGTTTTGGGTTTAGGCATTACATAAATGAGAGGCAGATGTATATTATATACATATGTGAATATATATATATATATATATAATAGCTGAGGAGTGCGGCCGGATCTTTACCCAGGCACACGTCTTCTTGGCCAAAATGGCATTGATGGAAGGTCGGCCACGATGGAAGGTGAGACCCAGGCTGCACTCCTACGCATGTGAAACCGTATCGAAATTGGAGTCTGGCTCGCGGCTCAACCCCCGGCACTGCAGCTGCTGGGGAGAGGAATCGTTCATAGGTGCGGTTTGCAACATTGGGAAGGCGGCCTCGATCCACACCACTACGATGCCTCTCCGATTGTTGCAAAAACTTTTGCTGACGATCAACGCAGACCTGGCGACCGAGGGGTGAAAAAGAGGGGGTCCGATCGAAACAGGCTCTCGCCTCTCTATCTCTCTCATTCTCGCTCGCTCTTAATTCTCCCATATCGAGAAGCATCTGATGGAGCAAACTGCTTGCCTTAAGCCCACAACCCGAAACCCAACCCTAAACCCTAAACCCTAAACCCTAAACCCTAAACCCTAAAGACCAAAACCCTGCACCTTAAACCCTGTACCCTAAACCTTTAAATGCCGTTTTATTCCGCTTCGGGACTGTGCATGTCTCGCCTTTCAAGTTTTCTCATTCCATGTGCACTCCTTTCGATCGAGCGATGTGCTCACGGCCTCCGAGATATATACACACATATAACATGCATGCATGTACGCAATACATATATATATATATATATATATATTTATTTATTTACTTATCTATATACATATACATACATACAAAATACGAAAACACACCCTTACATGCCTTCAGGCCCTATAAACCCTAAACGTTTTTGGCTCAAACAGTTGATTCTTTTGTCAATTCCTTTCTCGGATGATGAGTCATGATGCGGTGCACTCCAGAATGCATATAGGTTGCATAAGACAGGCTCCGGTAATTAGCCATTCCTCATGTGTTTGTTCACAGTGCTTCGTCGGAATCATAGTAAGATGCGATTTATTGGTAGCGGACGGTGTCCAGTTCGGATAATGACTTGTCCGACGGCAACACACGACACAGCTGGCACTATGCGACGTCCACAACAAAGTTCCCGGGGACAAAATAGTGGCGCATGCCTGCCTGTCCCCGCCGGAAATAATCCCCAGGCGCAAATTTCGGCCGGGCGTGTGCCTCCAGGAAATGCAAACCAAGATGTGCATCATGTCAACCGTGAGTGCA